CTCGTGTTTGGCTTTTCTCATTTTTTAGAACTCATTTTTCCTTGAAGTCATTTTCAATCAATCGTTTCTTTAATTTTATCAAATCTACTGAAAATATGATTTTTCAACTAAACTAAACAGGAACTTAAAATCAAGAGGAACTTTACACTAAGGTAATGTTTGATTGCTCCACTTTTTCCATTTAATTTTTCAACTTTTGGTTGTTTGATTGTCCAAAATTTTTCATGGAATTGAAATTTTCACTTTCTTGCCACGTCAGCATTTTCCATGAAATCATGAAATTGGAATTCTCACCAAAATGGTGAGAATTGGAATTTCCGGTTACTGTAGCGATTTTTAATTTTTTTTAATTTACATATTTTTTTTTGCAATGGAAATAAATTCTAAGAATTATTGTAAAAAAATATTTTCATTTTACTGACAATTTTCATGTAAAACAAAGCCAAACGAACACCAAAAGATAGATGATTTGCTTGATTTTTTATTTTTTTTGTTGGTAATGGAAACAAATTTCATACCCAATTCCAGTAAATTTCATCTCTTTAATTGACAATTTTCATGTAAAATAAAGTCAAATGAACATCAAAAAACACTCTTATTTCAACATTTTTCATGTGAAAAGTTATACCAATCAAACATAATAATTTACAATTTTCATGAAAATAATTTATAGGCAATTCAATTCCATGAAATTCGTTTTCAATTCAATTTCACCTTGGCAATCAAATGGACTATAATAGGAATATGAATAATTGAATTGAATTGAACTGAACTGAAATTGATTGTACATTACAATTACTAGATTTTAACTTCAAAATTTTCTTTGATATTGCCCGAATGGAAAGCGTTTTTATTTTATTTTAAAAGGAAATTTAATACACCTTGTATAGGGGGCGTGACTACACTTTGCATGCTGTATTATAAATTTACACTTTATATATTATGTTAAAATATGCATAATGATTACAAAAAACACCATTTGTTGAAAATTTCACAAATATACTATTAAAATAGATAAACAAATAAAAATATAATGTAACTCTTTGCATACTGTTTTCAAATTATTAATTTTTAAATAGATTTTTTTCTTTACATGGTGATTTTTTTTTTTTGTATGAGATTTATGAAATTTGTTATCTTTTTTCCTAAAATCTAATGTCAAATCAATAAAATTAAATTTAGTGAGTTTATAAAATATTAAAGATTATAGAAAATAATTTATTTGACCTTTCCAACATTGACAAAACAAATAAAAGTTTTTGTTTCTATCTTCTACTCAATATATTGTGTTCAATTAATAAAATTAAAAAATAAGAAATAAAATAAACTCTAATATAAATTGTTATTTCAGAGCTAAAAATTAATTTCATATTCGTTTTGAGTTGATGTGATTTTGCAACTTAAAAATTGTTAAGAATGCTTGTGTAATTTTATAGGAATCTATTGTGGATGATTTTTTATACTTATTTTTTCTCAAGAAAACTTCAAAGAAAAGGATTATATAAATATAGCTAATTACTAAATATATTATTTGTGTAAAAAGAAATTATGTAAATAGTGCACTGAGAATACTCAATCGAATTTTGATTTATAGAGGGATAGGTAAATTATTAAAAAAAAAAAAGCAGATAAAAATGAAACAGTAATTAAAAATTGATATGTGATTGCGAAGTGTTATATAAATGGTGCAATTAGTTATCTTTTAATATGGATATTTTGGTGTATTTCATTATTTCTAATGGCAAATTTGTAAATTTATTAAAAGTTATTTTTGTTACCCAGTGTAAAAATTAAATTTAAACAATATGGTTTATAAATATAAATACGCCCTGTTTTGGAAAAGTAGTTCTTATATATATATATATATATATATAAGAACTACTTTAGTTTTAATAACATATTAGTTTTAAGACTCCTTATTTAGCTAAAAATGAACTTTATAATCTCGGCCAAACCTAAAATAGTATCTTTTTAAGCTTTTCTTAGTCCCTGTTTGGCCCCTATTTCTTGGTAATGAAAATGGGTAGAATAATATTTTTTTTTGAAAAATGAGTGGTTGAAAAAGAGGGAAAAGTTTTCGATTTACGTGTCATATTATTTTATGAAAGATTGTATGGTTAAAAATATGAGAGAGAAAAATAAAATGTAATGAAATGTAATTTAATGGGAGCCAAACGGGGTCTTGTGACGTTTCATACAGTAAAGAAAAATAAAAAAGAAGCCACTTTTTCACTTATTTTCTAACAATTAAGTTAAGCCACCTTGCTCTAAACTAGAAAAAATAACAATGAAAAGTGATTTTTCTAGTTTAAATTAGCCCCTGTTTGTCATTTTTTACTTTACATTATTTTCTATTATTTTTTTCATAGTACTTATTGTTAATCATACATTCTTCATTAAAATAATATTACACATAAAAAACTTTTCATTCTTTTTTAACCATACATTTTTTATCAATCATTATTTTATAATACATTTTTTCAAATAAATGAGGCTCAAACAGGCCTTAGTGCTTTAAAAAACTGAAGTTCATGCAAAAAAGTCAGTTTCTTAGGTTGTCCTTTATACTCACGTTGCGGAATAGACACTCATGGAGATTATGACCTTTTGAAAAATGGGTATGTACAGAAGGCTAGCTGGGTATAAGAAACTCTTCACAGCCATAGATTTATCAACTATTGACAAGAGAGGGTTGAATAAAATTACTTATATGTGGAGATTATGACCTTTTAGAAGATGAATTTGTACAGAAGCTTGGGTGACAAGAAACTCTTCACAACCTTAGATTTATCAACTATTTACAAGAGTGGGGATTGAATTAGGTTAGAAAAGGTAGATAATCACTTATTTTATTAGATTTGATCAAAATAAATTATTTGAACAATGATTTTTTGAAGAACGTGTACTTAAAAAAAAGTAATAAGGTCACCTGCAAAATTCTTTTTATTAGAAAAATGTGTTATTGAAAATGAGTATGAAGAATTTTTTTTTAAATAAGTTGTCCTATTCATCCACTTGAAATTTTCAAAATCAAGTTATTTTGAAATTTTTTGAACTGGATGAAGTAAATAATTGAATTGGATTCTATCAATTGAATGGTATCAACGAAATCGAGTGCTAACTCCCATTTCTTACTTTATGCATAATATATTAATGATTCTATCATTTTCAATATTAATAATAATATTGAGTACTACTACTTATCCTCCCTATGAAATGTATAGTAAGATGATTGAAAACAATTTGACAATATTATAGAAAAATTAAAAGAGCTAAGTCTTATTCATTGTACAATTGAATCCTACTCTGCGAATGAAATGTAAATTGATAAAAACAGTTAGAAAAAAAAGTTAAAAGAGTAAAGTATTATTCATTATAATGCTCAATCATATCTATAGTATTATTTTCTAGACATGCACTTATAGCACGAACTCCAGACTCTATGATCATAACATGAAATCAACAGGAATTATTACAAGTGCTCAGTTGAAGGATGTCCAGTAAAAAAGAGAGTCGAGAGAGACAACAATGATCCAAGGTATGTAGTAACAACCTACGAGGGCATCCACAACCACCAAAGTACTTCTCAACTCTAATGTCAATCAAAAGGTCAGAATTACCATTAGAATTAGATAGGGAAGTCTTTTCCAGATTTCCAAACCTTTGTAGAATTGTTATAATTAGGTTGTTATAATTGTCCACTCGCACCCATCCCCGAATAACCTTTGAATTTCTAGATGTAAATCTCGAATTTCATATATATAAATCCGGTATTGGATTCATAACAAGATGCTCCCTCATATATGATCAAGTAGATGTATTCGATTTCGTTATAAGCAATCATGCCAAATTCTAAAGCTAATTTTCATGCATCGTGTTCTTTAACTTGTACGCAAGTACCTAACGATACTAGGAGATTTTCAACTATAATAAAAAATTGAGAATTAAATTGCCAGTTGAAAAATGGATTAAAAGTCAGTGATGCAATTTTCTAATAAATGAAGGGACAAGGGAAACTAGTATGCAAAGAACGGAGAACAAAGATAGTAGCATGAGCATAACAGGATTGAATCATCCTGGTTTGGTCCATTGACGTCGACGTGACCGTATCAAATATGGAGCCAAGACATAGCAACATTTTTTTTCCAGAGTCTAGCTCGTAGACTTTATCAAATATAGGCCAACACGACCCCATAAATTTTATTTTTCTTTTTTTTTTAAATGTAATTTTTTTTTAATAACATCGTCCTACGGCACCGATTGGCCTACGTCTGGAACCCAAATCAACCTATTGATGTTTGACTGTCGACCCAAATCAAACGTGACTCTACAAATATAGGTCAATGTTGATTTAGACTAAGCCTCTGCTCATTCTTTATTATTTTTAGAATATTTCAGCCCATTAGCACAGATCATGGCACAGTCCATCGGGGCCCACCACTTAGCCTTTCATTGAGTACAAGTACATTCTTTTCTAGCCATTTTCCAATTCTAACCTCCCTTTTTTATTAAAGCATTGATTGCGTGGTTGGTCGGTTGGGGGTTAAAAAGGGAAAAACAAAATAATCTTTTCATGCATCATTTAGTCATTTTTGTGTCAGAATGACAGCCAATGGACTATGTCATGGATTGTGCAACGTTGTAAAAAAATTCTAAAAATGAGAAATAAATGAGCTTCGATCAGGGGCTAAGCTTTTACTAATCGGACTAATGGGCAACTCTAGTACATTGACACACTTAGGTCATACGTTGAAAAGTTTTGAAGATAATTACATCCAGCATCTGATTAAACAGCGAATTTCCAAATTACTATTTATTCCTTAAAATCCCAATTTAGAGCATGTTTAAGACCCATTTTTTAGTTAATAGTGCAATTTAAATGATAGATTAATGAAGAATGTGTGGTTCAAAAATTTTTAAAAAAAATTGGGTTGCGTTAATATTATTTTATTAAAGTATATGTGGTTGAAAAAAAGATGTAAAAAAATATATTTTGAAAATAATGAGGATCAAACAAGGGCTTATTGTCTTTTAAGAATCAATTGAGTTTTTCTTTCTTCCTCGTTGTCGCTGTTTACTATAGATACACCACCATTATGCATCACCATCAACACCACCACCACCACCACCTTCATCGACACCATCATCCACCCTTAGACTCACTGCAATCACCATCCCTAAAAATAATATGCACCTCCACCACCACTACCGAAACACTCTATATTGCCGCTATGACCATCGCGCCTCCTCTAATTTTATTAAATCTATGATATTGTCATCGCACCACCACGATTACTATGCCTAGATGTTTGCACTACGGCAAAAGCTAGCCCATGACCTAAAATTCGAAATCATAGTCATGACCACATATCTCAAAACACCACCTCTGCAGGGTTTGAATTCAAAATTTCATATGCAAATTTCGAGCTTGTTTTTAAGATTTTTTGTTTGTATTACTGCTTGGTGATTTTTTTTTTTTTAAATTATTTGTTGTTTGTGTTGGGATGGCATTGGTGATGTGGTGGTAAGGTGATTTTATTTATTATTTTTTTTTTTGGTGGATTTAGTGTGTGGCGTCTATGGTAGTGGTGCTAAGGTTCAACATGGTGGTGGTCTAATTTTTCGATGGTAACAGTGGGATGTTACACAGCGTATTGGTGAAATTTCAATAATAGAAAAGGGAATTACAAAACAAACATGAAAATAACAAAATTGGACGGATTAAGGAAATTCAAGCCTTTTGCAGTAGGTAAAGCCTAAAACATGGTGCAGCAGAACTTCTTTATGACTTGTCCCCTCCAATATGTAATAGCCCAACTGTTCGTCATATAGCTCAAACAAACTCTACACAAGTAGTTGAACTCAAAAATTCAGTAAAAGAAACGACATTCTTTGCTCAATAATCTCTCAAGAAAAATAAGTGAGAATGTAAAGAAAAATACTAAAAGAATTGTGATTGTTGCGATGGTAATGAATAACCAAGGAATGATCCTATTTATATGTAAAAATAGGCCACACAAAATAAAGAGGTATCATAAACACATGAACGTTTTCACATTTCTTTTCATTTCCCAAACCTCCAACCTTCTCACTTTTCTAACTCCAAAAATCTACAAACCTATTACAAGAAAATATAATTGAGAAGCTCTGATACCACTTGGAAGTTTAGATTTAGCTAATCTATTTTTGATCTACTGTGCGGAATTATACAATTAAAAGCAACAAATCACTTTTCAATTATTTTCTAGATGGTTAAGCAATCATGCCAGTTTATCGTATAGTTTGAATGCCACAATCTATAATATGAAAACAATAAGCAATAAAAAAATATGTTGACTAAGAAAATCAATTGCGTAAAAACTCTGGGACCAAATCAGTAACCTTCACTGCAGATAATATGAATTTATAGTATGATCCAGCCTAAAAACCCACTAGACTCACTAATTTAATTCATGCAATCTTCAAGACTTGCTGAAACGTACTTCAATCACACATGTTCTCAATCTTCTAGTCGCCTTAGTAGTGTTGACAAAGAAGAAGAGCAGGTCAGAAGATATCGAATCTTTTTTTATTTATTTATATTTTTATATTATTTAGATATAAATTTATAATAACAGATATATATTCTTATTTTATTTAATAGCTTTGTCCAAATTCCAATGTTTTTTTATGTAAAAAATGCATTGTAACTTACGACTGAGAATTTGAAACAAAACTTGTGCGGCTCTTTAACACTATCCAACCTTCTAATTGCATTCCCTTGATCATATATAATCTTCTGGGACATTTTGGATTCCTTCAAGGACTATACTACAAATCTTAACTCTTCTGACTTTAATTAGGACTCAATAACTCCTATTTTGATTTTAACCCCAACTCGATAAACTTTTAATACAATCTAATTCAGATTTTATTTTGTCTACAGAATTGTCAATATAACATAAGTCCTTAACAATAATGAATGAATTTTAACATCAAAATGTACCAATATTCTCCTACTCATTTTATTATAAAATAGACAGAAAGATTACCAGGCAAAGAGGGACTATTACGCATCATGAAGGTTTTCTCTACATTGAGCCTTCACTTAGTGAAAACAGAAACCTTTACTCCAAAGACAATAGTGTGCTCACTATTGAACTAGGACTACTTAAGGAAAATAAAAGTTACTGTCCACGCACAACAATTTAGGTGTTGACATGAGCTTTAATAGGTAGCAAGTATAGCCTAGTACTAATCCCAGTTTCATGAGTGTATTTGAAAATAAGCTCAATTCTCATATAAAGCAGCCAAATCTCCACACTCACATGGGTGAAGATTCATCAAGAGTGCTCCTGTAATACTTGCACCTTGCTCATAAGAGCTATAATCTCATTAAAACTTAACCTCCATAAAATTACAAGAAAAATGCGGTCATACCATAGGGACGATAATAATAAGATAAATAAATTAGATAGTGCATTTCTTGTGACAACATGTGATTCATTTTTCCATTGAACCCAATTCTTAGGAACTCTGGTCCCTGGGTTGGGTATCATCATACGTGACTTTTATTTATATGGGTTTAATATCATCCCTCGATGTGCTCTAAGCCCTTTCTCTTGACAATGCATTTGTTAATGGATCTACAAGATTATTACAAATTTCACATAATCAATATTTATGATGCCATTACTTAGATAAGATCTCATAGTAGATAAGATCTCATAGTATCGTATTTTCTCCTAATAGGTCTGAATTTACCGTTATAATAATGATTATATATTCTACCAATTACTCAACAAAGGAATTTCACATAATACATCTCTTAACCAATTTGCTTCCTCACTTGCTGATACCAAAGTTATAAGCTCAGCCTCGATGGTTGAGTTAGCAATAATTGTTTGTTT